CAAATACATACACATACGCACACATGTGCCTATGTATGTATGTACATATGAAGTGTTTGTCATATGACAAACGATGATACAAAGTCTCTGTATATTACGTTCTGGCTCAATGATTTCTGGCTCTAAATATGCGGCAGTGTCTCGCCAAACATGCATTGCGGAACAACGAGGGGTAAGGGGTTAGAGCTGCGTAATATTGCAACAGCCGCAACAACAACAATGTCTAACTCTCAATATTTCCAGTTGTTTAATGAATTTACTAACTTAAAAAAAAAAAAACTAAAATAAAAATTGTCTTTCTCAGTGACTTTGATATATTTTTTAGTCGGTGACAAGAGGGGTTTTTTTCGGGACGTCTATTTTGTAATGGCAACTACTAATTTCAAAAATATATGTTTGTCTTAAAATAACATTTTTTTTGGTTTCGGTGTGCTTCGTTGATTATTTTTTTAATTAAATTTTTTAATATAAATTGCCTTAGTCAATTAATTTATTTTGATTTTTTCCGTTATTGCATTAGTGCTATTTGAGGTTATGTCAGATAAGAAATAAGAAATTCGTGGCATGGTCACATGCGTAAATATATGTATCTATATGTACAGACATTGACACAAAATATTAATTATAAGAAAAAACCCGCTCCACCGTAATGTGGACATTTAAAATATCTATAATCTGTTTCGGATACTTATTAATGGCCGTCGATGTCATGATAAAATTCAGGTAGGAAGAAAAAAATAATACCGGATCTTGCCTGTTGTCTATCGTAAAAAGTTACAGCCACTTTGGTTACTTTCTTTGAAAGAATGAGAGATATAGTCCACAAGACCGAATGACGGACGGACTAACATTTGAAATCGACTCAAAAATGATTATCCCAAAAATAATAAAACCGATACATCGATGAGACATATTTATACCCTTCACCACACTGTGGTACAGGGTATTATTTCTTTGTGCATACGTTTGTAACAGGCAAAAGGAAACAAGATAGACACATGGTTCCTCAGAATGTGATTCTATGCATATGCATAGATCTATGCATGTCCGTCAGTCCGTCTGTCTGTCCATGTTAAATTCTAAACAAAGTACAGGTCGTATTTAAGATTCGAACTGGATGAAATTTGACATCGGTCACTTATTCGGCCCAAGGATGAACCCTTTTGAAATTGGGAAAAATCGGTTCAGATTTAGATATAGCTCCCTTATATATTTTCGACCCATTTAATATAAATGGTGCAACAAAGTCCCTATATATCTTTTGATTTGCACCACATTTGGCACAGCGTACTGACTTTGGTCTAGCATGATGTGTATTTAGACTCCTGAAAATCGTTCAGATTTAGATATAGTTCCAATATACATTTTCGTCCAATTTAATGTAAATGGTGTACCAAAGCCCCTATATATCTTTCGATTTGCACGAAATTTGGCATGGCGTACTGAATTGAGTCTATAATGGTGTGTCTTAAATTTCAAGAAAATCGGTTTCGGTTAAATTTCGAGAAAATTTGTCGTCCGATGTAATGTAAATAGTGCACCAAAATCCCCATATATCTTTCGATTTGCACGAAATTTGACATAGCGTACTGAATTAAGTCTAGAATGATGTGTGTAAAGTTTCGTGATAATCGGTTCAGATTTAGATATAGCTCCCATATATAGTTTCGTCCGATTTAATGCAAATGGTGCACCAAAGTCCCCATATATCATTCAATTTGTACGAAATTTGGCATGACGTACTGAATTGAGTCTAGAATGGTGTGTCTTAAGTTTCGAGAAAATCGGGTAGATATGTCATATATATTATCGTCCGATTTATGTAATAAACATAAATCGGACGAAAATATATATGGGAGCTATATCTAAATCTAAACCGATTTTCTCGAAACTTAAGACACACCATTCTAGACTCAATGTGTGTGCATATATTGATATATTCGCTCTATATTTTCGTGTGAGTTGATGCAAATTGTGCACCAAGTAATAACCGTTTCTCCGATCGAGATAAATTTTGGACAGCTCACTGTGCTGCAGCATACCTATTGGTTGCTCAAATGCGTCCAGATTTACATTTGCGTAGTTCCCAAACATAATTGTGCTCGATTTGAAATATGAAATCGACCAAGTCCGTTCGATTAACATGCAATTTTTCATAGATTTCAGAATTGTATATATTCGGCCGCGTCCGTCTTTACTACTTTCCTTACTGGTTTTTCCTCTAAGCTCGAAGTTATCAAAAGTTAGCAATCTTTTAAGGAGACACCAAATTGATATGACAGTAAATCTATCGACACTATAAAATTCGAAGCATTATGATCTATCCACTCCATCATTTCAAAAAAGATTACCCTTTACATATTTATGCAGTTTTTCAAAACAAAACAAAAAAAAAAAACTACAACAAATAATGTGAATTTTTAATAGAGCAGAACCAAAATTAAAGCAAAAAATAAAAACCTAAACAAATATAATTTATAATGACTAACGAATGGACTTTAGGTATACAAGAAAATTAGCGAACACACACACGTAACAAATCTGCATTGTTTGCCAAAAAAAAATATTGAAAATAAAAATAAATTATAATTTGTGGATAGATTATAGATTTTTGGGAGATGAAAATGCCTCCGCAGCATAGATGGAGCTTTGGAAAAATATTTTTTAAAAAATCCAAGACTTCGATAGATCTTAAAAAAATATTTTTCAAAATTCCCTAAAAAGGTATTCTTTAAAAATCCACAAATTCTATGGGCCTTAAAAAAGTATACTTCCAAAATATGTATTAAACCAGTAAGGAAAGTAGTGAAATCGGACGGGCCCGACTATATGATACCCTTTACCAATTTGGGTATATTCAACGCATTTTTAAATGACCACTAAAATGAAATTGGATCCATAAACATGTCATTGTGCAACCAATACTAAATTTTTCATTTGGTCAGATATAGAAGCAATATCTAAATCTGAACCGATTATCAGGAAACTTAACACACATCATTATATACCTAATTCATTACGCTGTGCCAAATTTCGTGCAAATCGATAGATATTAAGGGAGTTTGGTGCACCATTTACATAAAATCGGACGAAAATATATATTGGACCTGTACTTTGTTTACAAAAATACATGGACGGACGGATAGACGGACATGCATAAATCGACTCAGAAAGTGATTCTATGCATATTCTCAAAAGGAACCATGGGTCTATCTCGAGTATTTTTGCCTGTTACAAACATATGTACAAAGACATAATACCACGGTGAAGGGTATAAAAATATTCTTAAAAAAATCCACGCCTCTTAAGGAACCCTAAAAAATATTCTTAAAAAAATCCACGCCTCTTAAGGAACCCTAAAAAATATTCTTTAAAAAATCCACGCCTCTTAAGGAACCCTAAAAAATATTCTTTAAAAAATCCACGCCTCTTAAGGAACCCTAAAAAATATTCTTTAAAAAATCCACGCCTCTTAAGGAACCCTAAAAAATATTCTTTAAAAAATCCACGCCTCTTAAGGAACCCTAAAAAATATTCTTTAAAAAATCCACGCCTCTTAAGGAACCCTAAAAAATATTCTTTAAAAAATCCACGCCTCTTAAGGAACCCTAAAAAATATTCTTTAAAAAATCCACGCCTCTTAAGGAACCCTAAAAAATATTCTTTAAAAAATCCACGCCTCTTAAGGAACCCTAAAAAATATTCTTTAAAAAATCCACGTCCTTAAAAAAACATTTTTTAAAAAATCCACGTCCTTAAAAAAATATTCTTAAAAAAATCCACGCCTCTTAGGGACCCTAAAAAATATTTTTAAAAAAATCCACGCCTCTTAAGGAACCCTAAAAAATATTCTTAAAAAAATCCACGCCTCTTAAGGAACCCTAAAAAATATTCTTTAAAAAATCCACGCCTCTTAAGGAACCCTAAAAAATATTCTTAAAAAAATCCGCGCCTCTTAAGGAACCCTTAAAAAATATTCTTAAAAAAATCCACGCCTCTTAAGGAACCCTAAAAAATATTCTTAAAAAAATCCACGCCTCTTAAGGAACCCTAAAAAATATTCTTAAAAAAATCCACGCCTCTTAAGGAACCCTAAAAAATATTCTTAAAAAAATCCACGCCTCTTAAGGAACCCTAAAAAATATTCTTAAAAAAATCCACTCCTCTTAAGGAACCCTAAAAAATATTCTTTAAAAAATCCACGCCACTTAAGGAACCCTCAAAAATATTCCTTAAAAAATCCACGCCTCTTAAGGAACCCTAAAAAATATTCTTAAAAAAAATCCACGCCTCTTAAGGAACCCTAAAAAATATTCTTAAAAAAATCCACGCCTCTTAAGGAACCCTAAAAAATATTCTTAAAAAAATTCACGCCTCTTAAGGAACCCTAAAAAATATTCTTTAAAAAATCCACGCCTCTTAAGGAACCCTAAAAAATATTCTTTAAAAAATCCACGCCTCTTAAGGAACCCTAAAAAATATTCTTTAAAAAATCCACGCCTCTTAAGGAACCCTAAAAAATATTCTTAAAAAAATCCACTCCTCTTAAGGAACCCTAAAAAATATTCTTTAAAAAATCCACGCCACTTAAGGAACCCTCAAAAATATTCCTTAAAAAATCCACGCCTCTTAAGGAACCCTAAAAAATATTCTTAAAAAAAATCCACGCCTCTTAAGGAACCCTAAAAAATATTCTTAAAAAAAATCCACGCCTCTTAAGGAACCCTAAAAAATATTCTTAAAAAAATTCACGCCTCTTAAGGAACCCTAAAAACATTCTTTAAAAAAATCCACGGTAAAAAATATTCTTTAAAATAATTCAGGCCTCAGATGGATGGAAAAATCTACGCTTACGAAGGACTTCTAAATGAAAAATTGTTGATACCTTATTGTTCTGTTCCGCCAATATTCTTCCGAATATCTCTGAAAATAGAAAAATTTGATTTCAGTTTTATTTATTGTATAATTATTAATTTGTTTCCCCTTACCTCCCATTTCAGCTGTCGAAAGTGCTATACTCGATTCACGATGCTATCTGGAAGGTGGTGGTTCGGCGGAGAGTTTTCTGGCCAGTGAAGATTTAGATATTGGCACGATAATTGGTAAGCTGCGCATCAATGGTAATCCCGATTTGGAAAATGGTGACATCAATCTGGCTCTGCGTGAAAAAGATGCTCCTGTAGAAATTGTACCGGGTACTAAGGACTTAGCATTGGCTGTGGAGCTGGATAAAGAAGGAAAGACAGGACCCTCTTCCATCTATGTAAATGTTATTTGTATACGACGCCATTCCACAGATCCGGTAAGTGCAATGGCCTGCAATGGAGATTAACTAATTTCAGTTTTTATTATTTTGGAAATTTAATTGTAACACTGCATCAAACTTTTTTGTTAGTTTGTTGAGTTTTTTTTTCCAACTGCATGCAATAACAACAATAAAATTTTATTTTATTTCTGTTCGTCCCAAAAAAATCTACACGCCTATATTTAAAGTCTAAAAAAAACTTAAAATTAAAACTCCAACAAATTGCAGTGAAATAGAAAGGGTGTAACATTAGAATTCATTCACCCCGTGAAGTTTCACTTTGTTGAGCAGAAATAGAAACAATTAAAAAAAAACAAATATTAGGTTAACAATGCGGTTGTTGTTGTTGTTGTTGCAGCAGGAAAAATGTTACCACTTTCCTTGGCCAAGTGTAGGCCGCTGGTGTGTGTATGTGTGTCTACGGGTGTCATGCCGGCATTTTCTTTTATAGCTAACCATAAATTAGACCCTCTTAGACTTCCTGTTAACTTGTGATTTGTGTGGCCACATCGAAAATCCTATACACGCACCGTCACGCTAACACCACCCGAATTGCATGGCAGTCATATTTTCTTAACGAGCAAAGCTATTTTGCAAAAAGTCTTGAAAGAGTTTTCGAGGAACCTACAATCGGGAAGGGGGAAATACACTCGAAACAAGATGACAGTTCAAGTCACACATGAAGGTGATTAAAAATCACTAATGATTTTTTCGTTTCGTTTTTCATTTGAACTGTGATTTTTTGTCGGGTGTAATCAATATCCATACACGTTATAATGTTATCATTAAAAGTTCTTAACACAAGTGCCAACATTCGACGGTTCAGTGTGAAAACAGGAGGTGATAGCCAAAAAAAACACAAAGGAGACTCCACAAAATAAAGCCACTAACAACAATATTTAACACCTGTCAGAGAGTTTTTAGGGCTTACAAAAATATTGATGTATAGATTATTTTGAAGAAAATTTTCTCAAAGGCTAGAATTGTTTTCAGAATATTTTTTCCAAGGTACTTTCATCGCTCTGAGGCGTGGATTTTTTAAAGAATATTTTCCAAAGGTCAATCACACTGAGGCTTGGATAAAAAAATCCATAATTCCGTCCACCCCTCTGAATACTTCGCTAGGGTCAATCGCACACAGGCCTGGATTAGAAAAATCCATCATTACGTCCACCGCTCTTAGGCGTGGATTTTTGAAAAATGGAAATTTTTCAAAGGTCTAACTCTCTTAGGTGTAGATTTTTTAAAGAAGAAATGTTTTAGCCCCTCTGGGGCTAGAATTTTTAAAGAGGAAAATTTTCCAAAGTTCCATCCCTCTGATGCGTGTTTTTTTAAAGAAGAAATTTTTCCATAGAACCATCCCTCTAAGTCGTGGATGTTTTAAAGAATTTTTTTCCAAATGTCCATCCTTCTGAGGCATGGATTTTTTTAAGAAGAAGTTTATCCAAAGTTCAAAACTTCTGAGGCGTGGATTTTTTAAAGAAGAAATTTATCCAAAATTCCAACCCTCTGAGGCGTGGATTTTTTAAAGAAGAAATTTATCCAAAATTCCAACCCTCTGAGGCGTGGATTTTTTAAAGAAGAAATTTATCCAAAATTCCAACCCTCTGAGGCGTGGATTTTTTTAAAGAAGAAATTTATCCAAAATTCCAACCCTCTGAGGCGTGGATTTTTTAAAGAAGAAATTTATCCAAAATTCCAACCCTCTGAGGCGTGGATTTTTTAAAGAAGAAATTTATCCAAAATTCCAACCCTCTGAGGCGTGCTTTTTTAAAGAAGAATTTTCTCCAAGAAATCTCTAAGGCGTGGATTTTTTAAAGAAGAATTTTCTCCAAGAAATCTCTAAGGCGTGGATTTTTTAAAGAAGAATTTTCTCCAAGAAAGAATTTTGTAAGAAGATTTTTTTCAAAGATCCTTTCATCTGAGGCATGGATATTTAAAAAAAAAAGTCTGAAGAAGATTTTTTTCAAATATTTTTCCTCTGAGGTTGAACATTTAAAAAAAAGAATTTTTTGAAGATTTTTTCAAAGATCCTTCCTCTATGGCTTGGATATTTCAAAAATTAATTTTTGAAGAAGATTTTTTTTTTTTGAACAAGATTTTTTTAAAAAAAAATTTTGTTCTTTAAAAATCCACGTCTATTTTTGGACCTTGAAAAAATATTCTTTAAAAATCCACTACTATTTTCTGACCTTGAAAAATTATTCTTTAGAAAATTCACAACTATTTAAGGCCTTAAAAATTATGCTTCAGAAATCCACGCTTATTTTAGGACCTTGAACAAAAATTTTTTAAAAGTACACACCTATTTTTAGAACTTTAAAATAAAAATCCGCGCCTATTTTGGACTTGAAAAAATTTTTATACAAAATCCAGTCTCCGGAACATTAGGTTGACATCCATGAAAAATTTTTGATAATTTTTAAAAATATCACCCCTTGTCTTATCTTCATCACAATTCACAAGCCCCATAGTGTTTCACATTTGCCTTGTACCCTGGTGCGGATGTTTGATTTCATTTCACAAATCATCATACGGCCACCGACCATCCTACCACTCATTCAACCACACTCCGCAAACTATTTCAAACATTCGGCATTAATGTGTTGAATGAAAAGCTTCTAATAGCTCAATAACTACACACAGACACACGCACACACACATTTACATACATTAAACCGAATATGTGAATTCTTGAAATAGTTCTACAAATATATGACCACCTCTTAGGAACTACTAACCTGTAACTCTGCTATAAGTATTACAACTTCGTATTCAATGTTCTCATACACTCTAGAAGTTTTAGAACTATACCGGCAAGTTGTTTGTTTGTTGTAGTTGTATAAGAGAAGCGTGATTGCTGTTTACATATGAGTTCATTGACCATTGTGTCGTCATTACTCGTCATCGTCATGGTGTTATGTGTGTGTGAGTTTTATTTCAGTTGTAGATTGTTCTCCTTAGATTAGCCATTACATGGAGTGTTGTTTGTTTAGTTTTGGCCTCTACTTCTCCTACCCGGCAAGTATTTCAATTGCAAGGGAAATATCGTTGTTGTTGTTGTTATTGCCAATGTTAACACAAGAAGCCAAAACTAGGTAAAGAACATTAAAATGTTTCGAATTAGCGGAGGTTATCGAATGACTTGGTAGTCATTAAAAATATACCGATGGGGTGGGTGAGATCAGGAATTCGAGATGTGGAGAGGATGCCATAACCTGGAGATGTGTTGTCTTTCATGTGGCTTGCAAAATCTAAAAAGAAAGTTGTGTTAAATTAATTACTTTAATTGTTTTTTTTAATTCAATACTTACGGATCTTCGATAGGCCTTGAAAAAATATTTATATTTCTTCTTCTTTTTGTTTTTTCCAGAGTTTCGTTATACCAGTCAATGTTCGAGTGATTGATATCAACGATAATGCACCACAGTGGATTGGAACCCCATATACCCTTACCCTATCCGAGGTAACTGTACCGGGTACACGCATTCTGCAAGGTGCCAAGGCTGAAGATGCCGATCAACAGGGTCCCTTTTCCACCGTCGAATACCAAGTACTGCCAGGGCCCTATTCTGAATATGTACAATTCCTTAATCCCTTAGAGGGTACATTGGTACTGAAAAAGGCATTGGACTATGAACAAATGCAAAATTTCACAGTCAAGTTGAGGGCGCAAGATCAGGGCACACCACCGAAATATTCCGACACAGTCCTAAGAGTTGTTATCACCGACGCCGATGATCAAAATCCGAAATTTCTAAGAGAAACATATAGTGCCGATTTGCCGGCCGATGGAAGGCCCGGAGATTTGCGAATACGCCCCGAACCCCTGAAAGCTATCGATCAGGATGAGGGCATTTGTGCACCCATACAATATTCGATTGTCCAGTCACAGGACACCAAATATTTTCGCATACATCCACACAATGGCGTTATTACCCTACTCACACCCATTGGATATTCGGATTTAACAAATGGTGCTACTCTGGTCGTCAAGGCAACACAAATCGATAATCCCGATCGTTATGCTTTGGCAACGGTTACATTGTCAAGACCCGGCATTGGTACCCACAGTGATTTAAGTGCCCTGACATTTGTCCAAAAGAAATTTTTTATGCGCATACGTGAAGACACCCCAGTGGGTAATCGTATATTGGCCTTGCCCACAAATAAACCAGGAAAACATTTAAAGTACAATATACCAGATCCGGTGAATGCAGAATTTTTCACGGTCGGCTCATTGGGTGAGGTGATATTGGCCAAGGCATTGGATTATGAGAAAATGACGCGGCATGAATTTCAAGTTGTGGCCACAGATGGTACGACAAATACCACGGCTGAGGTGACGCTGGAGGTGACAGATGTCAATGATTGGGAGCCAAGATTTCGTGAGACCCATTATGAGTTTGTGGTGCCAAAAAGTGTAAGTATTCCTGGAAACTCCAAGGGATTTTGGTTAACAATTCTCTTCTTCCTTCTTTTACAGCAAACGTTACAATCCCGCTCGGAGTCTTTGGATGGTGTGGTAATCGGCAAAGTTGAGGCGGCAGATGGTGATCGCAATGATAAATTGGAATTATCGTTGAGGGGCCAACATGCCGGGCTGTTTGAAATAGACAATACAGGAAACATTTACATGCGTCCTGAGCAATTACAAACTCTAAATGAATCGACAATTCACCTTATAGCCATTGCCACAGATACAGGAGTACCACCACGCAGCACCTCAGTCCCCGTATCGGTTACAATGGAAGGTGTGGCCTTGGCCCAGGCCTCATGGAGTAACAGCATATTGGGCATGTTTGGCATAATTGTGGCCCTATTCATACTCATTATCCTTGCCCTCACCTGCTACATTGTGCGCTATAAAAATAAGGCTCGGAAGACTTCGCCCACATTGGGCCGTAATCGTGTCCATAGTCATGGCCACAGTACTGTATCATCGGCAAATTTGGTTACCCATGAAAAGGTGGCGGGAAATGGTAATGGTGCCACTGTCACCAGCGGTAATGTTTCGGTGCTCCATATGAAACATAATGGAAATATTTCGATGGCGAATCCAATCAGTAATGGTGGCATTTATCATCCGACACCGAGTAGTAGTTTAAGCAGCAATATGGGTATGGGTGCCACGGCAATGTTGGCTGCCAGTTTGGAGAGAGAACGAGAGCGGGAAAGACAGAGGGAGAATTATGCGGCCACTGTGAGAAGTAAGTAAAGGAAAATTAATTGAAACATCAGTTATTAAGGTTCGATTAGGTTCTATAGAAAAAAAATCAACCTCAATTCACTGCGGTTCGCTGGGGTTTTCTATAGAAGTAATGCAAACTCAGTTCACTGAGGATCGGTTACTTTTTTTATAGAAAAAAATTCAACCTCAGTTCACTGAGGTTCTGTGATGTTTTTCTATAGAAAAAATGCAACCTCAGTTTACAGAGGTTAGGCGATTTTTTTCTATAGAAAAAAATTCAACCATAGTTCACTGAGGTACGGTGATTTTCTTCTATAGAAAAAAATTCAACCTCAGTTACAACTTCAGTTCACTGAGGTTCGGTGATTTTTTTCTATAGAAAAAATTTAGTTCACTGAGGATCGGTGATTTTTTTCTGTAGAAAAAAAATTCAACCTCAGTTCACTGAGGATCGATGATTTTTTTCTATAGAAAAAAAATTCAACCTCAGTTCACTGAGGATCGGTGATTTTTTTCTATAGAAAAAAAATTCAACCTCAGTTCACTGAGGATCGGTGATTTTTTTCTATAGAAAAAAATTCAACCTCAGTTCACTGAGGATCGGTGATTTTTTTCTATAGAAAAAAATTCAACCTCAGTTCACTGAGGTTCTCAGACTTTTTCAGCGCTTTTCAGTTCCTAAAGTTCGATTAGGGGGGATTCCTATAAAAATAACCTCTGTTCCTCAGTTTAGTTTTCAGGGGCATCTATGAAATAAGATTTTAATAATTTAGATTTGTTTAATTCCTCAAAATATACTCACATTTTTTGTAATTCCTTCCAGGCATTGTTTCTCGAGCCTCCGCAAATGGTCAACTCTATGAAGAAGATGAATTGGAAAACGATTCACTGTCACAAAATTCACCCCATTCGGCGGAAAATAATAACAAGAAAAAAGCCTGGGAACCGCCGTCAACGACAATGTCACAACAGACAGGCATCACGACTATAACATGCGCTAATGGTAGTGTCACAAATGTTGGTGTAAATGGGGCCTCCAGCAATTTGGTCACCTCCGATACAATGGGTTCATCGGAAAATAATTTAACGGTATATTTTTAAAAAATATATCTAAAATAAAAAAAATAGAAAATGTAAATACAATTTGTTTTAAATAAAATGGTGTTAAAAATTAGGGTACTAATTATGTGTTAGGTATTTTAAATCTATATTTCTTTTTTGTTTTTTCAATACTTCTCAAGTTAGTTTGGTAATTTATCAAATAAGTAAAATTATTCTAAGTAAAATAATACATGTTATTTAATGTAATTCGAAGTATTTCTCTAGAGTATAAGTCAAAGGTGGAAAATCATTGCAGGTTGATATATAGACAAAGCTCTAATACCCTGTTGAAGTGCAGTAATAATGATATTTGAAGCAAATTTCTTCTATATTTCCGATTGGTTATGACATTTTTTTTAATTTTTATGCACTCGGCATAGTCCTGCCATATCATCTGCATTGATTTATCCACCTTTAGAATAAAATAAAACAAAATTAAAAATTTAAATCTATTAATTTTAAAAAAATTGTGCAAAATACTCACTCTTTACTCTCCATTTGTAAATCTTTAGCTTCCATTATAAGATATTATTGTTATATATAAACACATAGAATAATTTATAAATATATATTAAAAACAAAGATTATAAATAAAGTAGAAATATTATTTATTTAAATTGTTTAGAGATTTTTTAATCAATAAAGAAAAAACAAATAGCAATAGGATACTGCAAAGATAACTGTTCCCACTAATGGAAATGCAGATAACTGCTCCCACTGATAGGAATTATAAGGATGGCGACTCTTGGTCTTCATGAAACTGTTACTTTTCAAAAGTAACAGTGACCTGATATAAGCCGAGAAATTTGTAAGTATTCTCTCAGAGGGAATGAAATATAAATTAAAGACATTCAAGTAGAAAAATTCGGCTAATACCTACAATATACTGAATATGGAGCGTTATCTATAAAATGGGAACCATGTCAAAATATTGGCCAATATTAAAAATTATTTGTTTCTAAATGGGCAAAATGAAGCCTCTGCCATAGATTATATGGCTCAAGATCATTGACATACTGGCCATTATTTTGAGGAACTGCCATATATTCTCTCCATTCCATCAAGAACACCTTTTTTATATTGGATTATTTAACGCTAAATTTCAGACTTGATGTACTCACCGTTTTATTAAACACAGAAATTTCTGAATTCTTTACTGAATGTGTTCAGTACTTCCATTAAATTGTCTGCTTATCATCTTTCCGAAAGCTTGAACTCAAAAATCAATGGTATAAGGCTTTGATGTTTCTTTAAAGAAATTGGAAAGAATAGAAATGCTGGAATTAATAGTGAAAAAGTATTAGGGACTTACGTTCCATGTTTCAGACTTCTAAACTTTGTTTTGGATGTTGGGTAACCATGAATAACTTATAGATGTAATGAAGAGAACAACATGCCTTTACTTTCCCAATCTATAAAGAAATACATTTTTAGACTTTGGTGGTTCCTGAATAAAAATGGAAAGAATATAAATGCTGCTATTTTTAGAAAAAAAATTATTACGGACTTACGTTTCATGTTCCAGATTTCTTTGCTTTGGATGTTGGGCAACCATGGCTAACTGATAGGTGTAATCAAGAGAGCACTATGAACATGCCTTTACATTCCCAATCTATAAAAAATATATGTTTAGTTTCAACATTCAATAATAATGTTTCTAAAATTACCAATTACACCTGTTCTGGCCATATATGCCCTCCCCTCCATCTTTCGCATATGCCATAGATGTGGGGCCAACGGTTACAAACCAACATTTTCACTCCATATATTGTGATAAATCAGCAGGCATCTACAGATCATTGATAATTTTTTAATAAACCAGTTCATATACCAAAAGAATATTAACTTTTTCATATATGTTTCACATTAACAGTTTAATTGCCACTTATTATAATTAAACAAAACAATTCAAGAAAAAAAATTACGTTATAAAAGGCGCCAAATGAAGCACTCAGCCAACTGTCATTACTCTCTATGCTATCAATTCACTTTGCATTACACATCATGCTATCGATAACATCAGCTGTTATTTCATTGGGAAGAAAGTGAGAGAGAGCGAGAATAACGCAAACCAACAACACAACTATCTGAGCCATAACAATTCGGAAGGAAAAATCGTCCTTTTACAATTTTTTATTAAAATAAAGTTAATAAATAATTGTTTCTTTTGTTATTTAAATTATGAACAACAATCTAACAACTAATGCCGCTGGCTCCACAACACCCGGCTCGACGACCAGCAATGTTGAAGAAAATGTTTCATTGCTTTCCGAGATCTCCGATATTATGCGTAGCTTTGGTGACAGTGATCAACCGCGTATGGAAAGTGTAAAGCTGGTGGAACATATCCTACAACAACAGCTGCGTGGAATGTTCAACGAAGCCTCTTTGGTAGCAATGAAACGTAAAAATAATCCATGTCCCTCACAGGCCGATTTTGAATTCTTAATGCGCAACCATCCGGTGAAAATTGCCCGAATGCGTAAACATTTAAAGGATATGAGAATTCTTAAGAAATTCCTAAGTATACGTACCGGCAGGCCACAAGATTTTATGGAAGATTTAGATCAACAGGATTCCGATGAAGAACTGGGCATTGATGTTCCCGAAATGTATGATGAAGATCGAACTCGAAGACTTTTCCGGGCGGATCGCATATCACAGATATTAAGTGGTCAGCAATATTTGGAATTTAATGAGGCACGCAAAACATCATTCTATTGTCGTCATGGTGAGAAAATTAAAAATAAATTTCGTCGTTTCCTAGACCTGCCAGCGGATTTGAGAATACCCACTACCACAATGAATATTTTGGCATATTTTGCCCATGAAACAATTGCGGTTATTGTTGATTATGCCATATTGACGCGTTTAAATTCATCTAATCGTATTACAGAGCCATTTAGTCGTGTCACTTCCACGGGGGCCTCACCAGCAATGATGCATATTTGTCCCGAGGTAACACAAGGTCGTGGTATGGAAGTCGTCAAACCAATAAGTGTACAGGAGATTCATGAGGGCATTCGGCGTTTTCGTCAAATGACCAGCAAAAAAGTGGGTTTCTATCGAAGTACTTGCGATACGGATTTTCGACGTTCCTTTTTGGCATTGTAAGGTGGTGTGGTCCAGAAAAATCTCACATTTTTATTAAATTATATAATATTTAATTGGATACTCAGAAATAAATGTAGTTGTAGGTTTTAGAACTTTTGAAAATAAATGAATTAAAGAAATAAGTAAATATTTCCTCAAGACCAGACCGAACTTTTTATACCCTTCACCAATATATTGGTATTCAAAAAACATATAAAGTCAGTCGAGACCCTTATATATTGATCTATGTCCATACATTGTATCTTCGGTGGGATATCACCATGTATCACCATGGGATATCACCTAGGACTGAAATTGGGGCATGACACTTATTTAGGGGTAATGTCAAAACATTGAACATTTTTGCGAAGAAGACTATCATTTAAATAACAAGCGGCAGTTTCATGCGGTTGTTTTGGTAGGAAGTTTTCCATTAGCTTTACACTTTAGATGGTGCCTGGGTTATTCTCCACAAAGTATATGGCACCTAGATTCATCCTACAAAGTGTAGATGAGGCTTAGGATCATCCTCCATAGATTGAGGAGGCCTAGGGCCATTCTCAATAGAGCAAATGACGCCTAGAATAATATTCAATAGAGTAAATGAAGCCTAGGGTCATCCTCCATAGAGTAGATGAGGCCCAGGGCCATCCTCCATAAATTTGATGAGGCCAAGGATCATCCTCGATAGAGCAAATGACGCCTAGAATCATACTCAATAGAATAGATGAGGCCTAGAGTCATCCTCCAAAGATTCGATGCGGCCTAGGGTCATCCACCATAGAGTAGATGAGGCCTAGGGTCATCCTCCATAGAGTAGATGATGCCTAGGAATATCCTCCATAGAGTAGATGATGCCTAGGAATATCCTCCATAGAGTAGATGAAGTCTAGGATCATCCTCCATGGATTCGACGAAGCCTCCATAGAATATATGAGGCCTAGATTCATCCTCCAAAGATTCGTTGAGGCCTAGAGTCATCCTCCATATATTCGATGAGGCCTAGGATCATCCTCCATAGAGTAGTGAGGCCTAGGATCATCCTCAACAGAGCAAATGACGCCTAGAATAGATAGTAGATTACGCCTAGGTTCATCGAACATATTGCAGGGAAAATATTTGAAAATCATTTATATATCCTCTCTTTTGATTTAAGAACACATTTTGTTATAATACGATAATAATGAACATAAATTTAATCTTGACATCTCTTGAGAAAAAATTACAACAAAAATATTTATAAAATATTTTCAATAAAATTACAAAAAAATACTATTTTAAAAATTAAAAAAATCATCCCTTAACCCTCCTAATTGACTTCTTGTTCTTCCACCATGATGGTAAATACATGTTCCTCATCCTCCTCCTCGGTAACCATTGTATCTTGCAAATCTTCTACAGTACCACCTGCCAATTGAACTTCTCTGCGATGGGCTTTGGTCTGTTCATGTTGTTTCATATGATGCTGGAGGCGGAAATCTTTATTACAATATTCACAACGATATAGCTTTACTTCGGCATGTATCAGCTTGTGTTTCTTCAGTGAATGGCCATAGCTAAAGGCTTTACCGCAGACATCACAGATATAGGGTTTTAGGCCTTGATGGACCCTGGTAATAAAATAATTTCAAATGTTAAAAAAATTATTTTAAAATATTAATGGGGAATTAGGGCTTACGCTTCATGGGCTTTCTTCACGGACTCATAGTAAAATGTCCGCGAACAGTATTCACATTTGTATGGTTTACCACCACTGTGTGAGAACATGTGTTTCCTTAACAATTCACGCATGTGGAATTTTTTATCACATAATCTGAAATTACATTCAATTAAGAACTACATTTTATATTTATCAAATCGATTGCTTACTCGCATGCATATTTTGGATTCTTATCATGACGCTGACGATGTTCCATCATACGTCCCCGCTTAGAGAAAACATTACCACAAATATCACATATAAAAGCATGCTGCGCTTCTTCTCTGGGTTTTCTACGACGTCTTTGCTCCAATGGTTTGACATCGGAATCACACTCATCTTTCACAGCAATTTCAATTGAATCAATATTCTCCCTGTCATCCTGACACATTTCATTTTCTTTGCCCTTTTTGGTATGTTTTTGTTTCGCCACATTTTGTCCGTCGTCATCTACCAATTCAATTACTGTCTCCTCCGCTAAAGATATACTTCTTTTCTTGCGTACATTTGCTGCAAGTTGTTGGTGTAATTGCTCCTCATTTTCAATATTTCGTTGCAATTCCTCAATTTCATGTTCTGATGTATTTGATATGGTTTCCATTTGTTCATACAGATGATGATCATCATCATCCTGATGTTCATTGTGTGAATCAAATTCTTCTTCTTGATTGGGGTCTTCATTATTATAAACTAACTGTTCCATGGGGGTTTCATCTCTGTTTGATATCACGTTTTCTTCGGTCATTATTCCCTGATTATTTTCCGTCTGGTTTCCTTCGATATTTTGTTCTCTTGTTAGATTTTCTTCATAGCAATTTTGAGGACCCCCATTCTCTATTGCAGCAGCTTCTTCGGTCTTAATTACTAAATCTTCTCTGTGAGTTTCTCCTGCAAATTCAGCTACTAGCTCCGCCTCTTCAGGACCCTTTAACTCTCCCACATAAGACATCAACAATTCATGGCTCTGCAGGGCCTTTTCCCGAAACTCAAATGCCATACTCAGGGACATTTCGCAGTTCTTACAAATAGTCTTTGGTAACATGGTGTGTTTGTCTTCCTGTAAAAAAACAAATTTTATTAAATTTATCCGTTATCCTTCTTCATACCATCCCTTACCTCCTCCACAGCAATCCCGGTAACCTTTAGCAACATTTCATTTGGTGGCTCATCGCCTTCATCCACTGGCTTGTAGAGGGAACGCAATTTCTTGGCCTTACCCAAACAAATGCGGCAACAATTGGCAGTCAGCTCATTGAGCATGATTAAACAGATTATCGGGTGTTAGTTAATTTGTCTAAAGATTAGTAAATTGTTTGTTTTTTTTTAAAGGAAATTAACTCGAAAATATCATTGTTTACAAGACGACAGCTATTGGTTTGTCCCAAAATAACACAATTGGTGTTGTTGTTGTTTTATTGCTGTTTGTGACAAACATCAGCTGTTTGATTTGGTTGCGGCCACAGGGTTGTATTTTCACAATGTTTGTTGATGGTGGGGTAGAATGGATATTAATGTTTTTTTTAAACTTTATTTGAAATTGACAGGAAGGAACTAATTATGATAAGATCAACGGTACAGAAGGCTTCGAAATTCTCCATAAATGTTCCCATCATAATAGTCATTGGAATATAAATGCTAAACTGAAATCTAGTGAGTAAGGCAATATAAATTTCATCTATTTATCACCAAAAAATGTTTTTGTTTTTCAGAGAATTCCCCAATTGTGGAAGCAGTTCGACTGAGACGCCTCCAATTGAAAATTGTGATAGATGAGTAGATGCTTTAACAACATTTTTTGGGCAATGAAAATCATTAGATACATAATATGTTCATGATGTGCGGAAATAAAAAGAGTCATTCGGTATCAAATTAGGGCTGAAAATGACCCATGTTTTGCCTGGACAAAAAGGCGCCAATGTCAGTCGATGCTATTGTAGACAATGATGTGTTTTCTCTTGATCGGAACACTCGCCACATGACAAGAAAAAAAAAAACAAACGGTCATTAGATTTGCCGCGTCTTCGAAGATCCACAGGCTATATTGGTGCCCTGTTTTTAAAATATGTGTAATCCAATGAGTTAATGCCATATCGATGGAAATATCAAATGACACCAGGCAATCTTCGACTGAAAGGATTTTGAATGCGGTGAGTTAAGTTTGTTTTAAATCGTTTCACATGGTTATTCACTCCATGGTCTCCAATGGAAACGTAAAAAAAAACACATAGGTGTAAAATATATTTTCAAGATATATATTAGGTTGGAGAAAAAGAAATCCATTATTTTTTTGTCGAAAATGGAATGAGGTAGACCCATTTCATAAACGGATGGTGACTGGAGATGAGAAATGGATCATATACGATAACCCTGTGTGAAAACGATAGTGGTCAAAGAGCGGTGAAACACCTCAAACGGTGGCCAAACCAGGACTAACGGCCAGGAAAGTTCTGCTATGAATTTGGTGGAACTGCAAGCGGTTTATTTATTATGAGGATATGGGCAATCGCTAAATTCTGATCTCTATTGTCAAAAACTGAACCGTTGGAAGATAGCAATTGACCATAATTGGCCAACAGGAGAGGTGTCGTGATCCACTAGGCCACACACATTTACAGTAACTCCCCAGATACTTTGGGAGCTTGGTTGGGAAGTTTTAATGCATCCGCCATACAGTCCGGACTTGGCACCAAGCGATTATCATCTTTTTCTTGCATTGCAAAATGTCTTGATAAAAAAAATTGGTATACAGGGAGGATTGTTAAAATCGACTACTAGAGTTTTTTTTACAAATTGAGAGCAGGACTTCTACGAGAAAGGCATTATGAAGTTACCTTTAAAAGTGGCAAAAAATCATAAAACAAAACGGTGCAGACATTCCGAAGCATGTTGAATAAAGTCCTATAGTTCATATAAATATAATGGATCTCTTTATCCTAATATATTTATGCCGTATCAGCCGTATGAGGTTTGATAAAAAATGAGCCTCATTCGTTTTAAAAACCATGTTTCTTTGGGCCAAATCCGTTTCAGACAATTTGTAGTCGATTTTGTAAATTAACTTTCTGTCCGTCTGTCTGGCTGGTACGCAAGACAATTCTCGAAGGCATTTCATCCAAACTTCGAAAAATCGTAGTATTTCCATCAAACTTAAATCAAGGTCAAAGATAGGGCATATCGGCTCACTCCTTCTGCTAATATCGTGCAAACAGAGCATCGGATTCCAACCAAATATTTTAGCCATATCATTTCACTCCTTCTAGTACCTCCCCCGAAACTTTGTAAATCGTTTATGAGACGAACGGAATATCCAAATTTCATCCAAACTTTACTGATTGTAATATTCTTAACTAGCCTAGATCGTATCCAAAGATGGAACCCACCATCTTTGGATACGATCCTTCTGGTACATTTCCCACAAATCGTCAAAATGTTGCTGAAAATTGATTTTTTACCAAAGTGATTGCATTTCAAGTTATTTGTGGGTAAAAGAAAATATTTACATAAAATTAGTCAGTAGGTCAATTCTTTCACATAGCCTTCATAAAAAGGTCCCGCCCTATTTCCCTTATTTTAAAGTATTTTTCAACTAAAGTAGTCTTTAATGTGGCTTTCCGTGTTTAAGAAGAGTTAAAAATCTATTTGCATACAATTTTAAATATACGAGTAGTTCAATGTTCTGGCATGGCCCTTTTTCAATGTTTCGATTTATCTATCTCATATATAAGTGGGAAATTTCGTAAAATAAAAGATAATTTGGCAGAAAATTATTAATATCGGTCAATAGTTTGACATATCCACCATATAAAGGTTCAGCTTCTTTTTCAGGCTTCTGCAGATCTTTGAATTTTAGGTATTATTACCTAAAAACGGTCCTCATAGTGGAGGGTATTACAAGTTCTGTCTGGGCTAATTTTATAAATGCCGACTTTTTAATTCTAATTTTTTTACTTTAACACTTTATGGTCCAATGTTGCCCACAGGCAACAAAACGTTTTAGTGCTTATATTTATTATACAGCTAGTAGATGTGCATTCTTTGGATTTCCTATGTCAAGACCTGATTATGGACGACACATATCACAAGAAAAATCTAAAAAAATTCAAATTGTTGGTAAAGTTATGAATTATTAAATATAGAGAAAAGGGCAAGAATGTGTACAGTACTAATTTGTCCAAATTATTTAAATCGCTTCGTATTCGAAATGTACGAATTCTACCATCAGATTTTTTTTTTTGATTCTTGTAAAACAGAATATAGAGAATAATTTAAAATGATTTTTGTCGATTTTGCATTTGATTTTCTCAAAATTTAAATCTCAAATTGGATTACATATGTCTGTTCAAGGAGTGCAATCCTGTGCGGCAATTAAATGCAGGCAAAAAATAAGCACCATCATACTTATAAGAATTTGTATTCCAAAATTTACTTTGCACAGTGTCTCAAAAACGAAAAAATAAGATATTTTGAAAATTATTTTTCTATTGAAAAAATCCAGAGTATATAAATATGATTGTGATTTTTTTAATAGAAAACCCGGTAAGGAAATTAGTAAAGTCGGACTGGGCCGACTATATGATACCCTTCACCACTTTGGGTATATTGTACATATGTATCCTTACATTTGCATGTCAATGTTTCCTCGAAGGAACATTCTCATGTCTTTCTGCAACCTATGATAATTTTCATTTCATTCGGGCAGATTTAGAGTCGTCTGTGCATCATGGACACCTGTTCGAAATACATATGGAAGCTATGGCTTCATCTGCACCAATTTCAACAAAACGCGATAACGACATTCAATTTTCAATTTATGTAAAATTGGACGAATATATGTGGGAACCGATTTTCTCGAAACTTACCATACATCAATCTTGACTTATTTCAGTACGCTATGCCAAATTTCGTGCAAATCGAAGTATAGAAAGGGATTTTGGTGCAATATTTACCCAAAATCGGACGAAAATATATATGGGAGCTATATCTAAATCTGAACCGATTTCTACGAAATTTAGCACACATCGTTCTGGTCTCAATTCAGTATGCTATGCCAAATTTCGTGCAAATCGAAGGATATATATGGGGACTTTGGTGCACCATTTACATAAAATCGGATGAAAATATATATGGGGGCTATATCTAAATCTGAACCGATTTTCACGAAATTTAACACACATCGTTCTAGACTTTATTCAAAACGCTTTGCCACTATTTGCACTATTTACCTAAAATCGGACGAAAGTATATATGGGAGCTATATCTAAATCTGAACCGATTTTCAGGAAACTTACCACACATAATTCTGGACTTAATTCAGTACCCTATGACAAATTTCGTGCAAATCGAAGGATATATAGGGAGTTTGGTGCACTATTTACCTAAAATCGGACGAACATATATATGGGAGCTATATCTAAATCTGAACCGATTTTCAGGAAACTTAGCATACATCATTCTGGACTTAATTCAGTACCCTATGACAAATTTCGTGCAAATCGAAGGATATATAGGGACTTTGGTGCACCATTTACCTAAAATCGGACATATATATATGGGAGCTATATCTAAATCTGAACCGATTTTTCCCAATTTTAATTGGGTTCGTCTTTGGGCCAAATAAAAGAGCTGTGCCAAATTTCATCCAATTCGAATCAAAAATACGATCTGTACTTTGTTTACAATTTAACATGGACAGACAGACGGACGGACATGCAAAATCGATTCAGAAAGTGATTCTATGCATAATCTCAAAAGGAACCATATGTCTATCTCGTTTCCTTTTGCCTGTTACAAACATATGCACAAAGACATAATACCCTGTACCACAGTGTGGTGAAGGGTATAAAAACCAGAGTAAATAAATATTATTGTGAATTTTTTCCAATAGAATAAAATGAAGACGATTTTTTTCTATAGAAAAAAGTGCATTTTTAAATGAGTTCGGTTTAATTTCTACAGAATTTTTTCCCCTATAGAAAAAAGTTTTCTCAATGGCTGAAAAAATGTTTCCTATAAAAAAAATGTTTTCTTGGTAGCTGAGGATTTTTTCCTATGGAAAAAGTCTTTCTCAGTAGCTGAGAGGAACAGAAAAAATATCCTAGGTCTTCAGGGCATATGTCCTGCACACGTGTCCATGAAAAATTATCCATAATAATTATAAACACATACTACATATGTATATATTTAACGAAGCATGTCCACTTTCTGCTTAACAAACTTCCTTGGAACTTTAGAAAACTAAAAACAATAACAACAAGCTTCGCCTACTCTACTACATACGCCCA